TCTTAGTAAAAGTTTTTCCAGAGGTTTCATCCAATCCAATCGAACCCTTTAACTGCGACCTACTTTCCAGCCACCGCTCCTCGTAAAGCGGGATTTAGCCCCCGATCCAACTTTTTCTAAGCTAATAACCCACTATTCCGCTCCCCTCCCTAGTTTTTACTCCAATTTTTAGTTTTGGCACTTTGCCAAGCACCCCATTTCAAGTGGCCATGAAGAAATGTGGGAGGATTGGTGGCGGGGGCTGCGTTGGATGGATGGATGCATAGGCTTCGCCTCTTTGAATCCCTAATGCGCTTTACAACCACCCCCCTCTAGTCAGGCACCAAAGCCACCGAGCACCACCGATTGTACCACCTTCAGGGCTGCCGTCGCAAAAAACCAGGTCCGGCTAATATTCGTGCTTTGAGCTGTTTTAAAGGGATCCGGAAGGCAATGATTGAATCTGCAAACTAGCAAATGTTGAAAATCGGATTGTTTTATCTTCCTAGCGCCCTTAAGGCGTTGCAAGGCTCAATCTTCATGTCTTTAAGCTTTGATGGGGGATGGAAGGGAGGTAGCGTAACCTAGTCCAGGTCTAAGCCTAAGCCTAAGCCAAACCTTAAGCCTAATAAGACCCTACCCCTGCTCAAAAATCTGATTTTCCCCTACCATCTGTCCCTCTCTATCCCGATTGGCCTATCCACCAACACAATAGCAATCCAATCCAACCTCCACCCACTGTCAACTCATATTCCCATCCCGGGAGTTACCCCCCAAAATGGTGCCCCAGGCCATCCTACCCAGGGGGGAATTGGCAATTACGTGGCGGCGGTGAGCGTCTGTGTATATGGTGTAGACTAACTCTGCTTCTCTGCCCCCCTCTATTGATGACCGCTCTCTCGCCCCGGGGGGTTCTGATTCATAATCCCGTCGCCCCAGGGTACGAATGTGGGGTTGAATGGTGCTTCGGGAGGGGTTTTAGGGCCCCGGGGGATGGGAGGATTTGAGGAATTTTGGAGTAATTCTGGAATATTTCGGATATTTTTCGATTTACGATTTTTTTACCTAGGCGTGGGCTTGCACTTAGCTTTACCCTAAGCTGAGACTTCGGCTCTATTCTTGCGCTTTGTTTAGGCTGAGGCTTAAGCTTCGGCTCCAACTCAGCTTGGGCTTAGGCTTAGGGTTAGCTTATGTTTAGCTTAGCTCTGCTTAGACTTAGGCTTAACTTGGGCTTAGGCTTAGGTCTAACAGGCTTAGAATTTGACATAAACATAGGCTTGGGCTTCGTATTCTTTCGTACCCAAAATCCCCGAAATTTCAGCTATTCACCGACCCTCCCCACGATCCCATCCCACCTCATAATTCCCTCCGAAAATTGTGCGTGAATGGTGCGCGCGGGAGGGCAGGCCAGCTGCACCACCGGCGAACCCAGGATTCGCAAACCAAATACCCCCCCTCCCCCCTGAAGAAGGGCGGAAAGAAAAGGAGGATTGACGCGGGGTTCAGCGCCACCTGGTCATCCCTCATAGCAGCGTTCCGTTTTCTTACTCCGCTGCTTATTTTTGGCGTAGATTTTTATGCTTAATTGTCTCCGCATCGAGCATGCAATCCCAAGCTATCGCCAGCTTTTTAGTTTTCCCGATTCTGTATTTCGATGTAGACTTTTCGGTCACCCTCCTGGGGCCACCTGTTCCTCCTTTCGGCGATTCTGCTCCGCGGAGCCAAACTTTTTGCGAATCCTCCGCCGGGTTACACTTCATTTTATCGCGGCCACGCATCTTGCGGCCCAGCAGGCCGGGGGCACAGAGACGCTAATTTGTGGTTTTACAGTCTGGTGGATGGGGTCCTGGATCTTGGGTCCTGCACTGCAATCGAACTCGCCTAACTTTATGCCAAAGCCTACGCCTAAGCCTAACCTAAGCTTAAGCCGAAACGTTAACAGGAGCCCATTTTTAATTATCTCCTCAAGGTTGCAACCGTCATTAAAAGTAGCGTCCCGTTCCTGGCCTTTTCGTAATTCCCCCACTTTGCATGCAAAGAGTATGGGCCCATGGTGGTGGGCCCCATGCCCCAGTGAGGGGGTGATTGAGGATTTCCCGTTAAAATTGGCACCGCCCCGGCTTCTCCTTCTCAACTAGGGCCTCTCTATGTCCCTATAGTCCGTTCCTAGCCCGGGACGACGTGGAATCGATGGTCCCGGGTGGATAATTATGCAGCCATTTGTCTCGACGTCAGGGGGAGCCGAATTCCCTTTAGCCCATCAGAAGACCATATCCATTGCATCCCCGGCAATAATGGCTTCATGTCGTTGGACATGATTATTTCTTCGCCGTACTCGCCTATTTCTGAATTTCTTAAGGTATAGGAATTTTGTAAATTCACTTTTCCGTACTAACGGATTATTTCGGAAAGAGTTTTCATTTCGTAACTTCACGTATAAATTTGATGTCCTTAGCCCAATATTCCTCTTCAAAGTACTGTTGAATATACCCTTTCTTAAAATCATAAAAATGATTTGTTTTTTCCTAATCCAGTGCTGAAAAAAAGAGCTTTTTGAGGATTTCATTACGTTCCTAAACCCTCTCCGTACTGCTTGATATCTGCTGAATTTTATGGACGGGGCACCCAAGGCCAGGATTTCTTATCAGGTCCTGGGATCCCTCTCGATGTCTTGCCTAGACATCTGTTCATATGGAGACTGAGCCTCCGCGGACACTAATGATAAACCTATTTAAGCACTAATGTCGTCGTTTAGATCCCTTGACCTAGATTTAAGCTATTTGTTGCATGATGCTAAAACGTTTTATTTATTTATTTTAGAACGTGATTCGGATAATAAAAATTGCATAGCGCAAGGACATAACTAATGGGCCGTAAAACTACGTTTTTAATGTGCTTACGAAAAAACTGTAAGCCGTAAATAACTGGTTTTGGTCCTATTTTGTTCTCATGCTTATAAAATTAGACGGCTCTATTTTAAAAAACTTCAAGTAGATGGAAAAATGCGCCTTTGCGAGCACTACAATCCCTGCTAGTTGACTTGACGTCAAACTCGACGAGGGCCGAGATAATAGCGTTCAAATGTCTATCGTTTTGACACACACTGTGGAAGCAATCCGACTAATCCTTAAAATATTTCCGTAACTTAACTTTTAACTCTTGGTTTGACAATTTTTAATTCCGTCATCTTTAAAATCAAACGTTCTGTTGGAGCTATCAAGCCTAGTTTTAGTTTTAATAGTAAAAGAAAATCACAAAACAACTTATTAACTATTTTTACGATGGATCTATAGTAAGTCTACGACGCCATTAATGCTCGAACACGTCCAAAATTCACTCTGGAATTCTTTCTCCATATTAGCAGATGTCTCGGGGTCAGAGAACAGAGACATTTTTGAATTACTCGGATGAGCGTGATAAGAAATCCTGGCCTTGAGTACCCTATCCGAATTTTATATGTATTTCATTAAAATCGTCTTTATAATTTTCTTTAATGGTTACCGACTAATAAAACCTACGTTCAACACACATCTGACCATCTCTCTTTTGGACTTTTCCTTTCATACTTTGAAAAATCGGGCTTTGTAAGGTACTGCACGTCCACTAAAAATTTCCAAAATATTGTCGGTTGGACCTTCTTTTAATGTATCCTCATAGCGGTCAAAATTTATGTCGATGCACACCTGGCGATCCATTTTTTGGCGCCAAGCAGCTGACTACCATTATGCCATGTTATTCTTTCGGTTCCTCGTTTGCATAGCTGCGCTGAGAGTTGAATACCTTTTGGGCAGGGGCGCCATTGGTCATTGTCGGCCCGTTTTTTTGATGTTGACTGATCCTGGGGCGAGGAAAGGCTAGGGTCTCGAAGCGTGACCCCCTACAGTCTGGAGGTCATCATAAGCACCACTACCCTCCTCCTCTCTGCCCTAACCTGACACCCCTATGACCATGCCGACCCTAGCCCTTTGTCTTATCGATTTTGTGTCATGGCAAAGGTTTAAAAAATCTTAAGAAGGTTGGAGGAGCAACAACTTTTTGAAAGTAGATATCGAGCTTCCTATCATTATATACATTTTATGCCAAAACCCATACAATGAGCATTTTTGTGATTTCATCTTTCTTTTTTTCTAGCTCTCTCTCTCTATCTCTCTCTTGCTCTCTCTATCCATCTGTCTCTCTCTCTCTCTCTCTCTCTCTCTCCCTCGATCTTTATCTCGAAAACTCACGATGTCGGCGAAGATCTGGTATTGGTTGGCACAGAACTATCAAAAAGTTCTTCTTCTCCTCTCTTTCTTCCTCTCTCCTTTCTCCCTTTCTCCTCCTTCCTCTCTCCTCTGCCCGTATTAAACGATTCCATTGATATGTAAGCATTCCAGGGCCTCCCGAAATGTCGGTGATATCCGAAAGGTCGGCACGACAGTACCGACCAAATGGATTCGCCTCAGCTAGGGATAGTGGAAGGTAATTCTTATTGGTAGGATTGCAAGCTTCTAAATTCCAGAAGGGGTCCCCGACCTCTCAAACAGCGATATGCCCACAGCGACATCGGCGAGCCGTTCATCCCCCATTTCTCGGTGATCGCCTCTGATGTGAGTTTATGGAAAGAGAGCGAGAGAGAGAAAGAGAGAAAGAGAGACAGAGAGCGAGAGAGAGAGAGAGAGAGAGAGAGAGAGAGAGAGAGACCTAAGTACCTTTAAAACCCCCTAAATTTTAGGGAGGTGTCAAGCAACACTTACAAGACGACTGGGGCGAGACAACAACCGTCTTAACTGGAGCCACCAGTGATATTGACTACGGTATGGATGACCGAAGAGTTTTTGAAGCCCCACCTCCGAGAGTGACTGCAAGGAGGTCGGTACATCAACAAAAATTAGCGTATCTTGAAAGGGAACGCTTAAAAACCCTGTACTACTGCTTTAAAGCTTATTTCCTAACTTAAGACTGATTTCAGATGTTCCCGGTTACTGTGGCTTACCTCGGCTGGGATTATCTCACTCGTCTCCGTTTTATCACCCCCCATAATGTCGCTACTTCCCCATTTCTTGAATACAATCGGGTATTCGTGGCCGGATGTGACATGTGAGGTTGGTGAGCTTGGGGATAATCGATTACGGCAGTTAATTCCACATTTTATACCTCCACGAAAATATATTTGTGTATTTTAGGTGGATTGCCAAGGGAAGCTCGTCCTATTGGCCGTTAAAAGTATCCTACTAGTCGTCGCGTTATGGGCTTTATACTGGCGGAGGGCCGCGGCTGATTTGCCGAGGTATAATGTGGTTTTAATTAAACTTCATGACATTTTTGGGATTTAATATTAGATAATATTTAACGTACGAAATTTTTAGGCTCTACTTTGCCCGAGCTGCTTTTTGTTTTGCTGTGATGTTCATCTTGTTCTCATTCTGGCTCTTCTATTCCGTTCGGATCATTATGGAACGCTATAATAATTATACGTAAGCTTATCAAACGCTCTTAAGGCCCGATTATATCAAAATTATTTTTAAGAGCTCCTTAAACGTGATTTTCAGATACATCGTCTCATTTTCCCTGGATCTCCTCGATGCCCTGTTATACACGCATTACATTTCGCTAATCGTACTCTACATCCGACAGCTTCGCCCCGAGTTTGTCATTACAGTCACTCGAGATCCAGACGGACGGCAGAGCACGTTTACTATTGGTAAACGCTAAACCTTGGGAATATACCGTATTACTTAGGCATGATGTCGCTACAAGAAGCCGCTATTCACGTGTTGCGACACTATGAGTCCGATTTTCCTACTTACAACTCGTTTTTGGACAAGGTTGGTGATTAGGCTTAGGTTTAGCTTTTGGCTTAGACTTCGGCTTCGTTTAGCCACAGCATCCAAGGCATTTTTCAGTCTCGCCAATCTGCCGTCTAAAAATCGTGTGCCCGGCATCGACACGTCCGGATTTAAAGTATACGATATTGAGGGAATGGGTGCCAGTGATAATATAAGCCAGGTTAGCTTTTCTAAGCTTTATAGAATCGATTCTTAAGGCAAATTCTCGAGCCCTTCTGGCGGCAATGGCCCGGCGAAGGAATACGGGATATCAGGAGATGCTTCAAGAAGAGATGGACTGGGATCGGAGGCTGAAAAAGCGGAAGTACCGCTTGATCGCTGCTACGGAAGATGCTTTTGCACATGTTCAAGGGATTCAAGGAGCAAATATGAATACGAGCGGGAAGGTGGGCATTGATTCGTTGTCAAACTTTGTAAAACACAGGTTTGCTGAATATACAGGTATGCAAGCTATAACATTTTTTCAGCTCCTTGGCGAGCCTATGGACAGTGCAAGTGCTGCGCATCACGTCTTCACCATGATCGTCCGTCCGTTGAATAAATACCTGAGGCTGACGAGGCAACAGCCAAAATTCCCAACCGAAAAGGTAAGTGGTTGTTGAACGTAAAGCTGTGGATACCTTATACTACGTAATATTAAGACCTTAATATGTTTCTTTTTAGGTGATGGGCCACATCGAGAAATGCATCTCGATGCGATTGAACTATCGCACCTTCCTCTCATACTTTTGGGGGGCTCGAGTCCCACCAGCGGTAAGTCACTATTTTTTAATGGGCTCTATACACTTAAAAACCTTTGATATAGTTTTGTATTATATATCTTTTGATTTCAGTCGATAATCCCGGAAGAAAAGTGGTCCATCGTTTCTGACGAGCTCTCATCGGCGCCGATTTCTTCAAGGATGACGTTTTTGTTGAGGTTTGTAGCCGAAGAAGGCTTTCCGTTTTTCCCAAAAAAGCAGCAAACAAAGTTTAAAGTTTATCCAGAGGAAAACCTAACCAAATACATTTTTAGAAGCCACGGAAAAGACGATACCGCAGGCGTTCAGCTGATCTGCCAGGTCACTTCGCTTCCGTTTTTCAACCTGACGGAGCAGAATCGGTATCTTAAAAAGAGCTAAATGGAATCTATCAAATTCTAGTTCACCGATTTCGAAATTCGCCATCAAGCTCAGCTCGGAATCGCCTGTGTAAGAAGCTGTCCCCGAAGTTTGCGCCCATCTCCTCTCTCTCTCTCTCTTTCTCTCTCTCTTTCTTTCTCTCACTCTCTCTCTCCCTTCAAAACCCATCCATGCCTTCCCGACGCCTTCCAAATCGGAGTACCCCCAACAAACCCAAGCCCAAAAATTGCCGGTGTGCCTTCAATTTCTTTTCTGTATGTCCTTCTTCATGTACCCTCATATTCGATCTTTCACTTCAATGTTCTCGACTTACTAATCAATTTATGCCGTGTACTGTCAGAATAAATTATACAGTCCGTTAAATGCGACGAAAGAAGGGCAAGTGAGGCGGATATGCACTTTGTACGGGGGTAAAATTGGCACAAAACACTGTTGCTCTGCAAAATTAAACATTCATGACAAAAGTTCCGGTTATCGTCTCTTCGAAGACGTCGGTGTAGCTGATGGTGTATGTAAATTCGGCCTAAAAATTACATTTTGTATTACCGTATTTTTGAAATTATATAGCATAGTCTACAAAATCCGTACCTCAGTCATCCTCGAGTCCAACGGCAACACCAAAAGTATGGCTCGTTTGTGCGGTGTTGAACCCAGCGCCGAAAACGCGTCAATTTCCTGGCAATCCTTCCACAGTAATCGACAGCTTATTCTCTGAAACCCGTCTTATATATTTCTAGCATTACTGATACCCACCATATCGTTCGTGTATACCAGAAACTTGATGTTTTGCACAGGGTGCGTGTTGAAGTTGAGGATCGAGATCAGACCGGCTCTGACGCCTATAAAAGATAACATTATAATTTCTGAGAGAGGTTTAATCTACCGGTGGTGCCTGGAGGCGAATTCTGGCTGTAGTGGAGCAGGATTTTGACGTTCTTCCGTTCCATGATTGAAATTGGCTGTTCGACCGCTGAAAACAATATCTATCCTCTCTCTCTCTCTCTCTCTCCCCCTCTCTCTCTCTCTCTCTCTCCTCTCTCTCTCCCTCTCTCTCGCTAGGGCTAAATCTCAAGTCTAAGCCTAAATCCCTCATTCACTCCCACTTACATAATTGCATCTGCTGTTCGGAAAACGATACAGATTCCGGGAGACACCGGACTGGCGATGATAATATCGTCTCCTAAAGTCATTTTAGCATTTCCGGACTGTAACCCACATCAAATTCAGCAGAAGATGCATTGCTAATCGGCTCAAGTGGACTCAAGCTCAACGGGGCCACTGATTTGGCTTGGCTCAACTCGAATAGGGTCGGCTTCGGTTGGTGGAAGCTAAAGGTGTATATGGTAAGCTTATTTTTAATAGAGAGATCCTACCTTGGTGGTGGGGGCCTTGGGGCGAAAATGTCATCAAGGGCCGTGAAATCGCTCAAATCTAGGGGCGGCTTTTTTTCTGGCCGAATTCGGATTCGAGTTGGGAAGCTCACGGCGGATAGGTTGTGGTGTGTTGTTCTAAATAATCTATTTAGTAGTCGCATAAATAACTCGAAAAAATATTGCGTTTAGACATCATACAACGTAATTAAACTCTTACCGTACTCCCGAATCCGATAAACGGCACGTCTTCTGGAGCACCGATCAGATGATTCGCGGCATCCACGACCCGAGGACAGGGGGAAGTTGTCGATGAGGGTTGACGTAGAGGGGGCCGGAGAGAAGGGATACTGTACAGGGTTTGGCAGCGGAATTGGAACATCATCGAACAGATCGACTTGGGTAGTGGATGGAGCTGTCGAGCTGGATCCTGAATTTTAGATTTAGGTTTTATTCTAGTTTTTTACGCTTACCCGCCCTTCCTCGCCTTTTCGCCTTCTGTGCCTCATAATCATGTAACAAGCGATTAATCTTAATTATAATAAATCTTGTAACGCAACAGATATCCCCTACAGTATCATTAATTTGCAGAATCTCGGCTAAGGCTTCATCCGAATTTTCGGCCGCCTCGTTCGCGTATTTGAACATGATTGGCCGAAGCTCTGAGAGGTGGTCGTGAAGGTCCTAGGGATTTTGAGCTGCTAAAGTACAATGATGTACTACTTACAGCCAGTGAATGTGTCGTAGGCCCATTCCGCAATGCGGCCTCCATCAAATGGCAGAGCTGCACAGTTTGATCCAGGTCGTCAGATCGCTTATTCCGTTTTTCGACTTTTTGATCCTCCTAATTGGATTATTTGTAAGGTGTCGGATAATTTTTACCGTTCTAACCAGATTTTTAATCAATCTATTAGCTGTATGTAGATCTTCAGGGTTTTTACTCTAAAATTTGAAGTTACGATCAACCAATATAATTTTCCCTACCTGCAAAAGTTCCTTCAAAAGCCTGGCTTTTTCCTCGTCCTCAAAAACGGCAAATTTCGGTGGCGGTGCCGGAACTGTCGGCATTTCCACTTCCAAAACTGGATCCGCAGCGATTATACCGCGCTCCTTTAGCGAGTCGTAGACCTGACATTTGATTTTTTCTATGAAAAAAAGGATCTTTCTTACCTCTTTAAACTTTTCTATATGCGCCATGGAGCTTTGCCAGCTGAACAGCATCTTTGTCGCCTGATCCTTCACCTAAATCTCGCGTATTTTAGGGTAGATCTTTACAAACCTTTTCTGAAGTCTCTTTACCCAGATATTTCGGTGTTAAAAGGCGCACTAATTGATTAAGAAAGCGATATTTCCCGATTCGGGTATGCACTTTCGAGCCGCACCTCCGGACCAGCAGATCAGTAGCCTAAAACTAGTTATTTTTCGTTTTCTTGCAAACCTGAAGCGAGTAAAGGCTCTCATCCTGGTTTGGACTCGCTATTTTATGCCCCAGTTGAGTCACAGCTACTTGTGCGCCTTCGATCTAAATAATTACAAGCCGAATATTTGTGAAATTAGCTACCAACCTCGTAATTAACCTTCTCACATAACTTTTCGGCATATATACGCCGTTCGGCATCTCCCACATAAGGATCAGTGGCCTTTGCTGAAAATTCGCTTTTTTTCAAAAGGCTTTTGACCCCGAAAATCCGGTGATTTCTCACAAAACACTTACCAATAAAAAACTCGATCGGCTTCTCCTTGAGCTCACCCGCAATAGACATCAAATGGAGAGGCAAATAGTAATAAGTAATCTTTTTAGAGAGAGCTAATTCCTAGGTGTAGATGGCGGGGCGGTAGTCAGGGTTGTGCATGTGAGGCCAGGGAATCAATAGGAGCCTGGCCGCCAGGGCCTCACCCACTCCTAAAAAGGGGCCCCTCCATTTTGCTAGGGATAAAAGGACTCGCCAAGTGCTAGGGTTTCTTTGCAGGCTTTTAGGATTGATTAGCAATTATTCTTTTCAGAAACTCTGATTTATTTTCGTTAAAATCTTGCGTTTCAAGTTAGTATCTAAACGTTGTAACCAGCGGAAGAACCCAGTTTTTCTAGAAGCTTATCGTGCTTTCTTTTTCCATGGAGTACTTCCTCTGTCCTCGACATCTTTTACCGGCGATTTTCGAGCTTTTGACTTGAGCAACTTCAGCAAAAGACCAAATGAAGGCCTGAATCTAGAAGCTACTGCAAGTTCACACACGCTCTTTTGCAAATCTGAAACCAATGAAATCCCAGAATTTCCTTGCCTTAAAAAAACCATCCCACGAACTAACTGTCGCTTTTTGCAGCCACAACTCGAGCTCTCTCGACCTGTCATCGAAAGGGGCGGTGAAGGTATGGTGGTGTGTGTGCGTTGTCGCGCCCACCGACCCCGGGGCTATGGTCAACCAGTCCGGCTGGTCACTCCCCTCCCCCCCAACGCCCCTCATTTCCTCAAAGCATCTCTGCTACGCTGCCGTCTCGGCTGGTCCACCCCGGTCTATCCATTCTCTCGTCGCATCCACGTCCTCCCCATCCGCCTTCTCATCCTCCTCCTCGACCCCTCCAATCCCCTGCCCGCGACCTTGCCCCACTCACATACTACCCTCGTATGGGCCAGCTCAGCTCGCTCTTGCAGTTTTTCGCTGTGTGACCGTCTACCACAGTTCTTCCCCGAAGGGAATTGACCCCATTTTCCGTTCCTAGGGTCAATTCCTTGGTTTTCAATTGATCAATTGAAAACTAACAGTATCTGATCTTTTTCTTTACCCTTGCTTCCCACGTCCCGTCGATTGAAATTGTTCGAAATAACTCTAAAACTTCAGGTTTTTAGGTTAGATCGGTTTTCATAAGTTATAATTAGTCGATGCTACAGGATTTCGCCCCCGTTCCCTTTTACGGATCAGTATTTCTCGTTCGGATGTGCGAAGCGGCAGGCCATTAAAGCCCGATTCGTCGCCAAAATCGATCACATCGCCACGCCGGACAACAACCGGGACCGAGACTCGCCCGCACGTTACAACGACGCAAGAAAAATCATTGGCGCTACTTCAGTTTGCTGGCCCCACTTATATCTGGCCAAAATGGCCTTTTTCTGGGTCAGTTTTTTGCGCTGGTTACGAATAACACTATCCCAGCCCGTAAAAATGACATTTAAGAAAAAAAAAGGCACTATACTGGTTAGGGGGGGCCACTTTGGATACTTATTAGGAGACACTTTTTTATCGCTTTTTCGAGTCTTTCTGGGGTAGTTTTTTACGCTGAGTGCTATTAGAGTCGCAACAGCATGCCTAACCGTTGGGTTTATCCAGGAAAAACTGCGTAAAACTTTATTAATAAAAAGTGTACTTATGAACAATTTGAGGCTTGCCGCATTGTCAGGCAAGGTGGGCCGTCGCTTCGGATGGGCTGCCGCTCCACTCTTCCGAAATCGGGGCGCCTGGGCGCTTCGCGCTCCTCGGGCGCCCGGATTTCGAAACCCTGTACGAGCTCGCACCCATCCGAAGCGACTAGGCCCCCGGTGGCACGAAGCCTTATTTTTAGGTCAATACCGAATGTCTGCATCTCTAACGCAACAGACGTTTAGACAATGATGTTTTACTACTCTGATTTTGTTAGATTCGAGACCAGCACAAAAAACGAGCCTAGAAAGACTCAAAAAGTCAAAAACCAAAGTGGCCCCCCCCTAACCAGTATAGTGCCAAAAAAAATATAATTTTATACCAAAATCTGGAATTTCGATTTTCGTGATTTTCGAGCGATATTCGCGGGGAGGCCGAAGTCTGGCGGGTCCTGAAGCGACGTGGATACTGTAGGCACCTATAAAAGTCAGGAAAAAAGCTAATTTTTACTTCGTTTCATTTGAAGATGAACGTTGCTGGTTTGAACTCCTTGCGAGGGATAACGTATCTGGAACTGGTCCCGCAGTTGAACCTTCCCGATGATCAGATTGAAGCGTGGCTTGTTAGCCTGGGGCTGCTTCATAGCAAGCGCACTTGCCCCAGATGTGGCTCTCAAGACATGAAAGTCAATGGTTCGAGCGCTTCACGCGATCATGCTTGGGTTTGCCATAAGCGTAAATGTCGCCGAGGTGAATCCAAACCCAAGATCGGATATTTGGTTGGTACTTTCTTTGAAGGTACTGAATCAATGAAGAAGCTCATCCACTATTCATACTATTACTTGCATGAATATGGGACCATGGCTAAAGTTCAACGCGAAATCGGTATGGGAAGCGCGACTGCAGTGCAATGGGGCCAATGGATCAGAGACGTGTTCGCCGAGTTCTTTGTAGCCAACCCTCGAGTTATCGGCGGCCCTGGTGTTGATGTGGAAATCGACGAGACGTGCATCGCACGTCGTAAGTACAACAGAGGTCGTCTGCCTGCGCACCAGAGACAATGGATGTTCGGTGGCATCGAACGGGGCTCCGGGCGTGGCTTCCTGGAGCTCGTGGACCGACGGGATGCGAACACGCTGCTGCCAATTATTGAGCAGTGTGTCCGCCCTGGTTCTACAATCCATTCGGATCTCTGGCGGGCGTATGGCGGCATCTCGGCCCTTCCACAAGGCTACCAACATCTCACGGTCAATCATTCAATGAACTTCGTTGACCCACACTGGCTCTCATACCCAAAATGTAGAGAGCCAATGGTCACGGTTCAAAAAAAGGATCAAGAGATCGAATGGCCTCAACACTGCCACAAACGAGAGGTACAGTGATTACCTCAGTGAGTTTATGTGGCGCCAGGAGTTCGGCGATAGCGATGACATCTTCTACCACTTTTGGTCCCAGGTTGCTGCTCAGTACCCGTGCGAATGATCACTCGCTAAAAAAATACCCAACGGCCCTCTTCAGGGCCACCCGCCGAGCTCTGTTAGCAACCTCCCCGTGGTGCTTGGTGGAAACAGCGTATCGCTGGCCAATAGCTAACATTTTCCCGAAACGATGCCGTTTTAGCGAAAACAAGCGGTATCGCGGCATGAGAGCGCAGAAAGGTCGGGTTTATAGGCTCCTGGCGTACTTAGAACGCCGTCAAATCACGAAAATCGAAATTCCAGATTTTGGTATAAAATTATATTTTTTTTTTCTTAAATGTCATTTTTACGGGCTGGGATAGTGTTATTCGTAACCAGCGCAAAAAACTGACCCAGAAAAAGGCCATTTTGGCCAGATATAAGTGGGGCCAGCAAACTGAAGTAGTGCCAAATCATTTTTTTCGCAAGTAAAATGTATCTAACGATTCTCTTCGAAAAGGGCAAAGGCAATAACGACGCAATTCTCCGCTTTTCTCACTTTACTGACAAAAATTTGAAAGTGTTTGAAAGTCTTCACGAAAGTTTTTGTTTTCTTTCTAGAATGTTCGCGGAAGGCTACGCGAGGATACAAAAGACACCGTAGCCGCTGATCTATTTCAACGTGTAGCTCTGGCAGCGAAAAATTGTCATTTGTCGCGATCTCCCAATTTCGTCTCGTTTTCTCTTTTTTGAAACGTTTTTCGTTTCTAACTTCCATTTTGCTATGAATTGCGATGCGCGTCTTCCTTTTCTCCTCGCGCTTTCATTTTGGGGCCCCCCTCGCCCCGGGGTGCCTAAAATATTCTCGTCTATGTCTCGTCATCACAGGGACTTTTGCTGACGCTGCATTATCCCCGCGCCTTTCCCCCTACCCTTCACTTTTCATTCCATTCCATTCCTTTCCTATTTTTCTCGTTATGTTAACTTTCTAACTTTTTCTATTTCAGAACCTACATCTCACCTCAATCAACGTACGATGCGAACCCTCTGGCTCCTCGGGGCCGTCCTGCTCGTTAGCGGACTTGCCCGTGCCGAAGAAGAGAAAAAGGAGGAGGAGGTTTGCAGTTTCTCATTGTTTTGAAATTTTTCTTTAGAAAAAATACGACACTATCATCGGTATTGATTTGGGAACGACCTACTCCTGCGTCGGTGTGTTCAAGAACGGTCGTGTGGAAATCATCGCCAATGACCAGGGTGAGTACCTTGAATTTACGGTGCAAAATACCAACTAGCTTTCTTCATTTTTCATTTTTGGTTTTTAGGTAACCGAATCACTCCGTCCTACGTGGCTTTCACTGGCGAGAATGGAGAGCGTCTGATCGGAGACGCCGCCAAGAACCAGCTCACCATCAACCCCGAGAACACAGTCTTCGACGTGAAGCGTCTCGTCGGCCGCGATTACAAAGACAAATCGGTTCAGGAAGATATCAAGCTGTGGCCCTTCAAGGTAAATTTTTATCCAGTTTCTTGCTCGTCTATCGCGCATTTTTTGTGATGTTTTTGTTTTCCCCGCATACTTTTCTTTTCAGATCGTCGACAAGAGCAACAAGCCGTACGTGCAGGTGAAGGTCGGCAAGGAGGACAAGCAGTTCACCCCCGAAGAAATCTCCGCCATGGTGCTGATCAAGATGAAGGAGATCGCCGAGAGCTACTTGGGCAAGGAAGTCAAGAACGCCGTCGTCACCGTGCCCGCTTACTTCAACGACGCCCAGCGCCAGGCCACCAAGGACGCCGGAACCATCGCTGGACTCAACGTTGTCCGTATCATCAACGAGCCCACCGCTGCCGCCATTGCCTACGGACTGGACAAGAAGGAGGGTAAGAAATTTTGATTGTTTTTTAAAAGTGTCTGGCCGCTGTGGTAATCGATAATCGCTGTCCACGTTGCAATAGCCTAAGGTGGCTGGCGGTACCAGTTTGGACTGTACGGGCCCGAGGGGCCTGTTTGCTAAGCGGTCAGCGCAGTGAGTAAACACATTGTCTGTTCGCATTGGTCGCGGGTGCGCGGGTCCCTCGGGCCCTTGGGGGCTAATGATGAAGACAATGAAACAAATTGAAAAATTATTAAAGTTTTCTGCACCTTCTAAATTTATTTTCAGGTGAGAGGAACATCCTTGTCTTCGATCTCGGAGGTGGTACTTTCGATGTCTCGATGCTCACCATCGACAATGGCGTTTTCGAGGTTCGAAATATTTGCTTTCTTCAAATAAATTTTAGGTGCTCGCGACCAACGGAGATACTCACTTGGGAGGAGAAGACTTCGACCAGCGCACCATGGAGTACTTCATCAAGCTGTACAAGAAGAAGACTGGAAAGGACATTCGCAAGGATCACCGTGCCGTCCAGAAGCTCCGCCGCGAGGTCGAGAAGGCCAAGCGAGCCCTGTCCACGCAGCACCAAGTCAAGGTATAGCATTTTACAGTTTCAATTACAATCATTGCTCAGGTCGAGGTCGAGGCTATGTTCGACGGAGAAGATTTCTCGGAAACGCTCACTCGTGCCAAGTTCGAAGAGCTGAACATGGATCTGTTCCGCGCCACCCTCAAGCCCGTCCAGAAGGTCCTCGAGGATTCCGACCTGAAGAAGACTGACGTCCACGAGATTGTCCTCGTCGGAGGCTCTACCAGAATCCCCAAGGTCCAGCAGCTCATCAAAGAATTCTTCAACGGCAAGGAGCCATCGCGTGGCATCAACCCTGATGAGGCCGTCGCCTATGGTGCTGCCGTTCAAGGAGGTGTTATTGCTGGAGACGTGAGTTTATTTCAACCCTTCTGATTTTATGTATTGTTTAGAGCGGAACCGGCGACATTGTTCTGCTCGACGTCAACCCGCTCACCATGGGTATCGAGACCGTTGGAGGAGTGATGACCAAGCTGATCCCCAGGAACACTGGTATACCTCGGTTTAAAAGTAAAATTCTTTTGTTTAGTTATCCCGACCAAGAAGAGCCAGGTCTTCTCCACGGCCGCCGACAATCAGAACACTGTCACCATCCGCGTCTTCGAAGGTGAACGCCCGATGACCAAGGACAACCACGAGCTCGGAAAGTTCGACCTCACTGGCATCCCTCCGGCCCAGCGCGGAATCCCCCAGATTGAGGTTTGTATTTTTGCCTGCACTCTAATAATTTGCGGTCTTAGGTTACCTTCGAAATTGACGTCAACGGCATTCTCCACGTCACCGCTGAAGACAAGGGCACTGGCAACAAGAACAAGATCACCATCACCAATGATGCCAACAGGTAAAGCTTTTACTTTGTTTCGTCTAATTTTCTTTTTGATTAGGCTGTCGCCCGAAGACATTGAGCGCATGATCAATGATGCCGAGAAGTTCGCCGATGAGGACAAGAAGCTGAAGGAGCAGGTCGAAGCCCGCAACGAGCTCGAGTCGTACGCCTACAGCCTGAAGAACCAGATCGGCGACAAGGAAAAGCTCGGCGGCAAGCTTGACGATGACGACAAGAAGACGATCGAGACTGCCGTCGACGAGGCCATCTCATGGCTCGACGACAACAAGGAGGCTGGCGTCGAGGAGCTGAAGGAAAAGAAGACCGAGCTCGAGGGCAAGGTGCACCCGATCGTCTCCAAGCTGTACAAGGACGGCGAGGGTGGCGGTGCTGAAGCTGGCGGAGAAGCCGAGGAGAAGGATGAAAAGGACGAGTTGTAGTTTGCTGTGATTCCATTCTGTGTCTGTTTCCCCCCTCACACTACTTCTCTCGCTCTGGGTGTGCGCCACTTCGGTGGTGGCTTTTCAAGGGTATTTTTTTTGTTTGTGTTTGGGCCCTTTGTTGGCCATTTCGTTTCTAGATAATAAATTTTTCTATGGGTCAGCGAATGTGAAATGGAACTTTATTGGAAACGCACAATGAACCCGTATGACAAAGATGTAATGTTCGGTATTGCTGGGGTAGGAGAACTTTCAGAAATCGTACTGTCAGTCTTTTCTAGATCTCTGCTTGGCCTAGCCGTATTTTGACTGGCTTTTGTGAAAGCGATTGGGGGGTCATGTTACCACGCAATAATATCCCCAATACATAATGTTGAAAATGATAAAGGTGGCTGGGAACACCCATCGACTCTTCTGGTCGATCTTCTTCGCACGATTCCGCCCGGCCATCTTCCTGAAAAGGTGTCGTTTCAAAGGTTGCTACCCTCCTAGCGATTCTAGCACACGGCACTCGTTTGTCAATAGCCAGCCTGCTATGAAAAAAGGGGAAGGGATTATTTCTCGGGGACAAGCAAACCGAAAAAGAATATAATAAGCCTTGGCGGATCGGGGGGCCAATGATAAATTCTAATAAAGTGAGGAGCTTCGAAAAAGCTAGCACGGCCAGGGCACCTGTCATGGGTTATTAAGCGGCTCAGTTGGATATTGGGCAACAGGCTGGGACGCCTGCAAATAGACGGCTGCTTTCCAAGATGAAAATCATAATTTTTAGGGCGCTGATGCGTGGTTGGGGCGCCTCTAAAACGTACTTGTGTTTTTGGAGCTGTTTGATGGTGTTTGTCCATTTGTCGCCTTTCTTTTCCTTGTTGGGCTCCTTGTTTTCGGCCGTCGAGCCGTAGGTGGTCGCTGAAATTCAGGGGGTAATCTTTGATACCTTAAAAGATAGGATAATCAAGGTAAAACCAACATTTTGAGTTGTTTGCTGTCAACCCGTTGTGTGCAGCGACGCCGTTTGGGACAAGACGGCTCCAGACGGATGGTGATCGCTTGCAAAGTTGGCCAGTTGAGTCGTCAAACGCCGCCCAATTTGCTAATCGTTCGGCCTGGAATATTATTGTATTATTTATGCTTTAATATGTATAATAAATCTAATAAACTAACCTTTTCGGCCTCCTTATCCTTCCACAACTCATTGGCCGCAGTTCGTGGGGAATCAATGTTATTCTCAGCCACCTAAACTTCATCGTCTGCCTTTTTTCAACGATTTTGGATAATATTTTGGTTAGTACAACGTAGTCACAAACGATAGTACCATTTTTACGGCCATAAAAAGCCGAATTTTGTGAATGGTAGTGTAAAGTGCTCCCAAAAGATGCATAAAGAAACGGACATTCGTGCTGGCACTGTAGGAGCGAGGGCGATTCTCGATAGACGGCGGGGAGAGACCTTCCGCTGGATTTGAGGAGACCGAGCTTCTGGCCTTGGCGTCGAGGAACGGCCAAAGTGGATGGAGGAGGCTGAGCTTCAGCCCGAACTGTCGTGCCTGTAGTGTTGGGGGGAAAGTGGTGCCTAATCATCGAGACCTTCAAACCAAAATAGCTAAATTTATAGCTAATCGTTTTGCATTAATCTAATATCGGCTAGGTGATGATGAATGCACAACAAAATTATCCAGACTCCAGCCGTACCCAATCAACGAAAAAAATGGGCTATTCTCGAGAAATGAGTTGATACCGGTGCATCCGGGTGCTGTGGGGTGTTGCAACCATCATCCACATCAGAAGAGAAATTCGAATAGTGAGACATCGAGCGGAGTCGGACTTGGTTTCCGAAATCTGGCTCGGGCTCGGCCTGGAACCAGCCGCGTGCGGTTAGCGCATTTAGCACATGCTTTCGTTTTTCATTAGTTTTCGCGTAGCAAATTAGATGGATGCGAGCTTTTTCTTAGGCTACGACAAAGCGCAGACGCTATATTACTTGGTAAAAACTCTATCATATCAAATTATAGCTAAAAAATTAGTAAAATATGTCCTTTCTAGCTTTTAGAATCGAATTTTGAAACAGGTGCAGTAGTTTGGCCAGAAATTAGAAGCACCCCATTGTCAGAAAAATAAGAGTGAATAGTTTTGCAGTGAAATGAAGTGATTTCGCACAACCAACCTCGACAAGCTGTTGATGATGCTCCCGCGTGCTGCCCTTGAACCGTCCGATCAGATCGCGGGCCTTGTTGCTGATGTTCGACGCCGAGAGCTCTTTCTGCGTCTTGCCAGCCGCCGTCTTCTCCATCACCGACTCCAGGCTGGAGGCCATCACTAAACATCAAAATTAGACGGCTTCAACTCTCTGACGACATCTCCGAAATCCACCGTGGGGCTGGGCAGCATTTGGCTAACAAGGGAACCTCAAGTTGGCACGGTGGAGTTTCGAAAAACGCTCGCGGCTACCCCTAGGTTTTCGACTATGGCGATCTCAACGGTCGAGTCAGAATTTCCTAAATAGCCCTCTGGACAGAGATACAGCACTTCCGGAAATTCATCTTTTACATCCGAAAAATTAGCATAACCGATAGGTTTATGAGGCTCTCCCATCACTATGGAATCACCGGTTGAGTGGCCTAGTGGTAAGCGACTTGCTTGATAGGATACTGACGAGGGTTCGAACCCGCTCGCAATTTTTTCTTTTGATTTTTGTTCAGAATTTTCTGCCCAACTCCAAGTTTTCGATATTTTTTTCGAAAATTCGTCCTCTGCCTAAAATGTCTAAAAGCATTAGCAAAGCAATTAGGCAAAAAAATCTTATCCGATCAATCATAGAAACCCTTTTCTAAAAAACGGAAATGAGAACACCCGGCCGTTCCATAAAATTTTTTCGAATTTTGAGACTACTTTGGAGCAATAATCAAAAGGCTGGTGCAATAATCAAAAAGTTTTACTATATTAAAAATGAAAACTTGGAGTTGGGCAGAAAATTCTGAACAAAAATCAAAAGAAAAAAATTGCGAGCGGGTTCGAACCCTCGTCAGTATCCTATCAAGCAAGTCGCTTACCACTCGGCCACTCAACCGGTGATTCCATAGTGATGGGAGAGCCTCATAAACCTATCGGTTATGCTAATTTTTCGGATGTAAAAGATGAATTTCCGGAAGTGCTGTATCTCTGTCCAGAGGGCTATTTAGGAAATTCTGACTCGACCGTTGAGATCGCCATAGTCGAAAACCTAGGGGTAGCCGCGAGCGTTTTTCGAAACTCCACCGTGCCAACTTGAGGTTCCCTTGTAAGCAACGGCAAAAATTCTGGATGTTCCAGCAAGAAAATTGTGGATTTTACCATGAAACTATCGTTCTTGCTAGCAAAATTCGAAATTCCACAACAATCCCCTGCACATAAAGCACGGCAAGCGGAGAGCGTGAATATGTGGGCCCGGATTTCAGAGATATCGTCAATTTTTCATTTTAAAATGCATTAGTTCAGGGGAAATCTTTGGAGGAGGATAGCGCACGACATTCGGGCTAAAGGGCTCTTCCAAGAAGCATGGTTATAGACAGGTTATAGCAGTTCAGAGAAAAGGGGGAAATTGAAAGCTGGGCTGCTTTGCGGCAAGCTTGGCTTGTTTAGCTTCTCCAGGCAATAGTGGGGGGTTTCTCGAAAAACTTGCACTCCGTTTTCTGCTGTTTCGCCATTTTCGAGTAGGCTGCAAATAGGGAAGCGGGTTGAGTTTCGTTTTTAATGGTTTTTTTACGTTGTTAAATTGGTCTTGCTTTAAAAACGGACACAGCTAATTGTATATTTTAAATCGATCTACTACACATATTAATTTTTGTGAGCATTAAGCCGTGCTACATGAAAATTACCGGAAAAGCATGCGTTTTGATGCGGACAGGATAGTATTGTAATTTTGAGTGAAGCGGAGTCCTCCAAAAGCCAGGTTAGATTTATTGGTACGTGACGATACGGAAGACGATACAGGACTGGGCTTCCGGTGACAGACGGACAGTTTTGGGGGATGGATGGATGAGGCGAGGATCGTTTTTAGAAACATTAAAATTTGCGAAATTCGATGCATCCGCGCCCCAACCCTTTGAAAATCGAGGGACCAGTATTTGACACTATCCTTACCGATATCGGCATCCGTGCGGTGCCATTTTCGCCCTATAGACGAACATAATTTAATAGCTTTAATATATTGTGGCAATCGGAGGTTAGGGAATACGAAAACGGTGATTTTAAGAGTAACATTTAGATGTAGTTTTGTGCAAAACGTCGATGGAAATGGGCATGGGCTATCATTTTTTACTTAGCTTTTAGCTATACAAAAGCTTCAAATATAGAAGCTAAACTTTATTTTCAATGCCGAACACAAAAATCAGCTCCATGCCCAGTTCCGGGACGGGTGCACCGGTAGACAAAGACTCGCTGTGAGTGTAAAAATCAAAAACAATTTCCTTTTTCGAATGTTCTACTGATTTCTAATTCGACCATAACAATCCAATCTAACCGAGAGAGGCGCATTCCGGACCCTCCGTTGATTACGCCGAGAAAATGTCAAAGGAAAAACTTTTTACGGCAGCGTTACACTTTCCCCTCGGCTTACCAAATTGGAAAGGGCTTCGCGCTTGATAACGGCTTGTTTATGGGGGGATTTTAAGGATGATGGGCCAAAAATTTTCCGGGGTGATACCTTGACGTTGAGCGTAGTTGACGATGGTGAACTCGATCATGACGCCGAACACGAACCTGATCGCAAATTTAGTAAGACCAAAAGGGGAAGACTTACATCATACAAGCGCCCATCCAAACGTCAATAGCTTTCATGTAAGACACCTGAAATTAAAGTTTTGAGTATGATTTTGAGGACATCACCTCCGGCAAAGCCAAGCGAGCCGCATTTGCTTGGGTTGAAAGTGTTAGCAACGTTGTAATGGCCAACGAAACTCGTGCTGGCACCGCTTCGACGTCTAGCCAGAAGGAAAACCTAAAATATAACTATAAAACTAGCAAATTCCTGAAATAGACATAAGGAGGACGAGAAAGTGGCTGTCGGGACCATAAAACCCAGCTGATCTGTCTTATTTTCTCCCAAAAAGGCATAAAATAAGTGGAAACCCCTCGTTTCTTCAAAACTTCAGAAGAAAATTACTTTTATACAGCTTTTTAGCTTATTTGAGGCAAAAACAAAGCCAACACAAGCATTTTCAAGCAAAAAGCAAAAAATCTGCCCCATGCCAGGCTCGAACTGGCGACCTCGGCATATCTTACAAACTATAAGTACCACGCGCTAACCGACTGCGCCAATGGGGCAACGGGGAGAGGGCGCCGACTTGCCATGATATGACTACGATCAGAGTCGTGGGCACGTAGGACTGCATCAGGTGGTGAGTGATTTCGCGTTGCACGGCGAATTCAGCGGTAACGCATGACCAGGTGCCTAAAAAAATAGTATATTAGCATTGCTAGTAATAGGCGTAGTATTTTGACCACGTTTGAGGGCTCAAAAAGCCTGTAAAATAACCCCAAATCGCTATTTTTTCGCCACGTTTTCAAGGAATATTTGCTTGGTTCGGATGCTCTAATTTCGTGTAATACAAGATTGAAAGTAATTTAAAAATCATATTAATTAGCTTAGAACTATGGGCTATCTTTCTATTAGAAAACCTAGCGAAAAAGATAAATTTGGCAGCTAAACTATAGATTTTGTTTCTTAAAGCGAAAAGGCGCTAGAATAGGTAGCAAAAGCTATTCAAAGGGGTTCGCAATAGTCAATTAGAATTATGCATCATATTATAGCAAAGTACATTTATACATTTGGTGAAATAAGTTCATTAAAAAAAGCTAATTTACGAAATTTGCCCTGAGCCAAGCCGAATTTTTGGCAATTTAATAAAGGCCGCTGAATATATTTCGCATACCATCTTATACGGTTATTTCTATAGTTCTTTGGCAAAGTTTTTGGTGACCCGGCTAAAAATCGATAAAAAGATACCTGTACTATAATTCCCATCGCAAAATCCTGGGTACAAATCGTTGATTCTCATGTCGGACATTGCAATCCCGGGGTTTCGTGTGATCGGATCTGTGTTGATCCATTCGATTTGTAATTGATCGGTTGTGTAGGCGTCTGAAATATAAATTATTCGTAATTTATTTATTTTATTTTATTTTTTCTTATAATTTGTAGCTTTCCGCTTTTGCTCAACGGGAAGTTTAATTGGGCGCGCTCATGACCGGGCGAACGACCCCCTTGCTAGGCGGGGAGGGTAAGACCCTTTTCCGTGCCCCTTCCCG